TTTTCCTATTAACCAAAAATAATCACTGAGGAAATTTCATAAAAGTGAGGATTATTTACAGTAGCCATACAACCATATGGATCATAAAATGTATTAGATACTATAAATGGGCAAATATAGTATTATATTGAAAACTACAAAGAGAAAGAATTTGTCCTTTGATAGATCAAAATATGACAAAATAATTTTACTTAACCAAATGTAATAGTTTTTAAAATATACATATCTCTAGAAAATAATAGTAAAATTATGTATGTATATATGTGCATATACATACACAGACACGCACATATATATATATATATATATATATATATATAGTTGATGTCAAGGGAAAGAAAAAAAAAAAAAAAAAGACTTGTTTACTAGAAAACAAGGGTACAGAAATTTTCACTTTGAAACAAATACTTGTTTACAAACTTCTCACTGATACCTCATTGCTTCCCAGTAACTTCAGTTTGAGCCTATCACTCTGAAACCCACTTCAAAACTATATTCTTCTACCTCTGATTTTTCCATTCTTAACCTCTAAGTAGGAACCTTTTCCCCATTCCTAACTCCTTGCCCTCCAGGTTAGCTCTCAGCATTTCCTGTTCTGTCTCTTCGTACTATCCTAGCACCTTACCTGCCTCCCCTCAGAGGAGCGCTGTCTTTCACGCAGTGCCAGTTGAGTGTGAGTATGAGTGGCTCTTGGACCCAGTCTTCTGTAAGGAACCTAAGTAATTGCTAAAAGACCGTTGGGACAGAGATAAAATAATCCCATGAGTAGTGTGACCCTTGGCATGAGAACTACAATTGCCCCAGGAGGCTTGCCACATTAGACCAAAGCAGATCTAAATAATATGTTTACTTTTCCCTTTTAATTAATTGATTTTTATTTTTATAGTTTGATTTCATTTTATATATATTTTATATTGTTCTTCCTTTTTGTAGAATGCATGCTTTCTCCTTTCAGGTGAAGTCCCCGCAAAATTCTCATCAACAATTCACCTGTGCACCATCACCATAGTCCCTGGTGTGAGAACACATTCTCTCCCCTGTTTTGATCCCTTTCCCTCCCTCCCCCCAGTGTCTCTGATTAATAGTGGTCTGTTGATTTTGTTTTTTAATTTATTATAATTATTTTTTCCTTGTTTGGTTCCTCTACATTCCTCCTATAAGTGAAACAATCCAATATTTTTCTTTTTCTTCTGATTTATTTCACTGAGCATGATCCCTTCCAGCTCCGTCCGTGTTGCTGTGAATGGTATGAGTTTATCTTTTTTGATTGCTAAATAGTATTCCATCATGTATATATTCCACATCTTCTTGATCCAGTCATCTATCTCGGAGCATTATTTTCAATGAATATAAGCATTCTGTTTTTCTCCATTAACTTAAGATTCTTTATCCTGTTGTGTAGAATGCAGGCAAGAAGCATCTTCACACTCCTCTCCTCTTCTCTCTCCCCTCCCAAATTCAGTCACTTATTACATAACACCTAACTGGATTAGATACAAAAAAATGCATAGTCTTGAGGCTATGATTTAACATTATAATTAGGGACTTAGATTATTTGAATCTTAAAGTGAATAAAATTTTATTGTACTATGATTAAATAATTATTCAGCCCAGAATCCATTTTTTACATGCTTCATTCTCAAATCTTTCTCTCATATTCTATTCAGGACAAAATGCTAATGAGTATATAAGACAAAACAAACAGGTTCCTGTGCAGAACCTGAGAGAGAAGGAGCACTGTGAACACTTTGACAGTTCAGGGTCAGTGAAGAAGGTCTCCATCCTCACACAGTTTCAAAAATAACCATGGCAAGGTCTCCATCAGGAAGTCCTTTTGCCTCTCCAGGTAATCACCCACTCAGAAATGGTAGTAATTGGGATAGCTACTTGCCGAACTGTGAAACTCCAGTAGGTTGTTGAAATCCTCATCATCTACACACCTTGCACACACATCCACATGTATACTCAGTGGTATGTTATCTCACATTAAGGATTGTAGCTCAGAAAATGCCTTTGTAAAGCAAGTATACACAGTGGCCTTGCACTCACAGAGTCATATAATCATGTGAAATAGGCACACTTAATATAAACATTATTCATACTTGCACATATACACAAAATTATGCATAGTGATTAGTAACATTCACATGCAAATTCAGTCCATTCATACATATATATTAACATCACTCCCCAATACACATATCAAATATATGACATATCAGTACATTTCACATAGCACAAAATATTCCTTCAATTTAAATATAAGTACTAACTAACAAAAAGTATGTGTATATAAGATTACACTCATATAATCTCAGCAACAATCCTTATTGCACATCCATTCAAATCTCCTGACTTTGCATCCATGTACACCAGGGAGACGAAAGTTAGGGGTTAATGCCTCCAGCTTTAGACTATAGTCTCAGAGGAAGCCAGTGTGAGTATGAGGCAGTGGGCCTTAGGAGGAGGAGAGAATTAATACTTGTGGGAAGGAAAAGTTCAGAATTTACAAGGACTTTAAATAGGTCCCAATCTGAGCTCTCTACTAAAGCCTGAATGCCAGGAGCCAGTTAGAGCTGCTTAAGGTCAACCAGCATGGTCAGGATTAAATCAGATCTAAGGGTGAGTGGTTCCCTGTGCCCCAGTTATGTCTGCCTTTCCCAGAAAACAGTAGAGTTCATATTGACTCCAAGAAGCTGGACGATAAGGTGTGCACTGGGCAGAATAGTCTGACTCCTCGGGGGTCTCAGGTCCACACATCCATGACTGCTGAGCCTCATTCATAGATGGGGAAGACATTCAATATTTGCACTGTGTCATCAGCGGAATCTAGAATAGTAGCAAGACAGCCTCTGCATGATCATGAAGGACCTTAGATAAAACCCCATTCTGCTCCAGAATTATTGTTCTATGCCTTAGTATTAGAAAATCTAAGCAATCTAAATTTCCCTGATTCTATTCCTTATCAATATCTCAGCCCATTTTGCCCTTTAGACTAAAGATTCCAACTACACAAACTCACTGATGGACATAACTATTTCCTTGGGTACACTGCTGAATTCAAACCTAGACTTGAAATCTCACTTTCAGCAATGTGAGAACCTAGTTCTAATAACCATATTTCCAAGACAAAAAATTCTCACAAGATAGATTATATTTTGGGGAACAGAAATTGGATGTAGTTCAATGTGTGGTCACTATAGCTATAATACTTGATCTTAATACTTGATCTATAATACTTGACCTATAATCTATAATACTTGATCTTAATTTTGTCTTTATTATGCACTGTGATTACAAGAGTTCTATTCTGAGGGGCAAGAGAGAACATATTTAATAGCAAAGAAGGGGAAAAAGAAAGAATGTTGAGTAAGAAGAGAGCTTATATCATTTTCCCTTCTCCATTCCTGTAGTGAAAGTTTATTTTCATCCCTCAAATCAGCAACAAGGTGATAAACTGTTCTTCCCCTCAGAAATACTATTGGAAAGCATCCATATTGCACAAAAATGACCAAGGATTGCTAATTATCTGTCTATTCCATGATCTCTTGCCTTAACTCTGCATGTGTTGAGTTCATAGATTGTAAGAGAGGAAAAAGCAAAGAAAAACAAACAAAACAGAGATTGCTGAAAGTCAAGGCACCAGATGTCATGAACGGCCACAGAAATTACAGGAGGAAAGAGAGGCATCTGCCAAGGGCCCCTATCTCCCACTTCTGACTTTGGTCCCAGGTAAGCTCTGCTCCGACATTGTTCTCTATTGTTCAAGAAAGAAAATCTGAGTGCAGAACATAGAGCCAGCACAATGGAATGAGGAAGCTGAAAGGCATCTGTTATAGGAGGTCTCTGGTGTGTGAAAAGGCTTGTGCATATAGATGAATCCATGGAGAAAAACAGTCTTTTGAAAGGGAATACAAAATAAAAGTAGCTAAACCCAGGTTTTTCAACTCCAAAGGAGTTTATGGGGCAGGTGAGTTCTCCAGCAAGTCTCAGGGGCAGAAGACAATAAGGAATCCTAGATAAAGCATCTCATGCCCAGAGATTGCCAAGAGAGTAACTTGAAGCCTATTCTAGAGGCAGCCATCCAGTGAAGTTGGAGGGCCTATGGGCTTAAAAACAGACTTACCTGTAATTTAGTATATAATTTGGCAAGTGTCCTTTATGTCTACCTCTGCCACTTTGGGGCAAATAATATGGCAACTGTCCTAGAATCAAAACTAACTCAGCATCACTGAATATATTGCTGTAGGCCTGTGATTCAAAGTGTTTTCTAAGTTGGCTTCCTATCCTGAAAAGTTGCCCAAATGGCATAAACATAGAGATGAAGAGGATTTATGGTAAAGGTTAAACAAATCAGTTGGTTTGTCTAAAGATTAGAAGGGAAACACTGATTATGATATTATTTCCAGGATAAATTTCCATTAGCAGATCATACACTTAAAAAAATATTGATTCTTATATAAAACATTAGTCTTGTAGGGCCTCCCCTGGTGGTGCAGCGGTTGAGCGCTGGGCTGTGAAGCTGCCCACAGCCTCTGCAGCTCTGGTTTGATCCCCAGATGCTGGGGAGTGTCCCACATGGTGCGCAGACCTCTCCTGCCACACCTGCTGCTCCCCTTAGCAGTGTATTTTGTCAGTCTGCCTGTTTTGTTCCCCACTCTGGCTCTGGTGAATTCTCTCACCCTCCCATGCTTCTGACTGTACCCAGTGCTTGTATAAATCAATCAATCAATCAATCTTTTTAAAAAAACCATTAGTCTTGTAGCTGTTGTATGTTCTCACACCCTTTTGAATGGCATAAAAATGAATAAAAAATAGTGTCATCATCTTTAAATGTCACAAATATTTTTTATTAAAATAGTTATAATTATTGTAGTTTACCATTGAATCCAACTGCCCTATTTTTCAGTCGATCCATTCAAAAGATTATAAACAATAATAATGATTTATTTGATTGCTCTCATCTACAGAAAGTAAATTACGTTCTCAATGGAGAGCAAATGCAACAGCCTGTGATGTCGGCTTCAGGGAACAGCTCTTTTCATCCTGATTCCTTCTTCCTGGTTGGGATCCCAGGACTGGAGAATTCTCAGTTTTGGATTGGCTTTCCATTCTGTGCCATGTACATTGTGGCTGTAGTTGGCAATATCATTGTCATTCATATAATCCGAATTGACCACACCCTGCATGAACCCGTGTACCTCTTTCTGGCCATGTTGGCTTTCACTGACTTAGTCCTCTCCTCTTCCACCCAACCTAAAATGTTGGCTATATTCTGGTTCCATTCCCATGAGATTGAATATCATGCCTGCCTCATCCAGGTGTTCTTCATCCATGCCTTTTCATCGGTGGAGTCCGGAGTGCTCATGGCTATGGCCTTGGACCGTTACGTGGCCATCTGTTTCCCCCTGCGCCACTCTAGTATCCTGACCCCATCTGTAGTGGGTAAACTGGGGGCAGCTGTGATGATAAGAGGGCTGCTGTGGGTGAGTCCCTTCTGCTTCATGATCTCCAGAATGCCCTTCTGTGCCAACCAGATCATCCCCCAGTCATACTGTGAACACATGGCTGTGCTGAAGTTGTTGTGTGCTGACAGTAGAGTAAACCGTGCGTATGGGCTCTTTGTGGCCTTCTCAGTGGTTGGGTTTGATATTATTGTCATTAGTATATCCTATGTGATGATTTTGAGAACTGTGCTGGGCTTGCCGCCTGGTGAAGCCAGGCTCAAGACTTTTGGCACATGTGCTTCCCATATTGGTGTTATCTTGGCTTTTTATATACCAGCCATGTTTACTTTCCTCACCCACCGCTTTGGACGTAATGTGCCCCGAGTGGTACACATCATGTTAGCTAATCTCTATCTACTGGTACCCCCCATGCTCAACCCCATCATCTATGGCATTAAAACCAAACAGATCAGGGACAGGTTTTTTCAAGGGTGTTGTGGAAAATGTCCTTGAACCCAGGTATTCAGTTTCACAACCAACCCCGCTGCCCTACTGTGGATCTGAAGATGAAATCAAAGTTTGTCACAGACCATCAGCTATTACCACCAAGACATCTCTGTGAAAAAGTGGCCCAGAGGCCAGCAAACCTCCAGGACCAACAAGAACAATCTTTAGAACAAGTGCTCTTTCAGAGATTCGGTTGATAACAGACACTGAGGTGACCTATGGTCATCACAGGAAAATAGTAAAAATCAGCTCATCTATCAAAATAGTGAAATTTAAACATGTCCTCTTCCACAGACCAATAAGTTGAAAATTATTCCTATGCTGTTGGTAGACATATAAATTGGTACTCCTTGTTTAAAAGGAGTTTAGAAATGTTCATCAAACAAGTTAAAAAGTGCATATATGTTCCCATTTTAGGAATTTTTTCTAGAAATAGATTTTTTTTAAATAATGTACAAAGACATGCATGGATTATTTGTTTATACTACAAAAACATTCAAATACTGATTTATATGTCAGGTGAAGCAAAGAACAGTTGAATAGTGTGTATTATTTAACTACTATTAGCAAAATATCTAAGGATGTGAAAAATAATCAAGATATAATATTAAATTAAAAAATTACAATTGCATAAGGTTTAATACTGATTCTTAGGAATGTATGTGTATAGAAAAAGATTCAGGAAATGTATCCAAATGCTAATAAGAGCCACTCTGAGTTTTGAGATTTGTATTATTTTAATTTTATTATTTTATTTTAATTTTCTGTTTGCACCTTTGTTGTTTCTTATAGTATCCTAAATTGGGGAAATTTAGTTTTAGTGTAAGGAAACAGTAATTCAAATGAGAACAAAAGCTTTTAGAAAATGGAATTTAGTGCCAAAGCCTAGGGGAGTGGAGTGGGCAATCTGAGAGATGAGAGACTCTGGAAAAAATAAGGTTTCAAAAAGTTTGAAAATCTCTATGTAAAATTACCCCAGAATCATAAGTTCTTGGAACTAAAAATAAGAAATAGCTGAATGTTGGTCTCTTTTCCAAATTTGCTGATTCTTTAATGGCAATCAATTCAGAATGAAGAAATTTTGGAAAAGAATATGAAAGAAGACTCTTCTGAAGATAACCATATTGTGTGGTGAATGGTAATAAGAAATAACTAGAAACTTTAATAGTATTTATTAATATTCAGTCACCTTTTAAGTTAAAATACCTGTTTTACAGTATTTCAAGTGTTTATTTAGGCTATTTCATACTAATAGATGCTCTGATGGCTAATTTCCATTACTCTCCACTCGCTTACAGAATGCCTGATGGAGAGTAATTGCTCCAGAGATATTTCTTCAGTAGATATTTAATAAGTTCCAGATCATTATTTATATGACAAATTATCTTATTTGACAAAGAACATCCTTCAAAATTTCCATGGAGAAAATGAAAGGAGCCCTAAGACAGAAATCTGGAACCCAGTTTCAAAGCAATGAGGCAAAAAATGGAACTTTTTTCCTCATTGGTGAGAGGTTCTTTGACCTGTTTTTTGTTTTTATTAATTTGCAAACACAATATACAGGACACAGGAAATCAGTGTACTTACTAGGTTATTAGATTAATACCAAAGTTGTGAATCTGCAGCCATATGAAGAGATATATTAGGTGAGATGCTAAAAAAAAAGATACCTGGAGCTACCTCTGCTTATGGAGTTTGGGAAACAGTGGCACTTGGAAGAATTCCGGGTCCCCAACCTGTAAGATTTCTGAACCCTATCTGCTTGGGTAAACGGAGGCTTATAAATATATATAATTATATAAATATACATCAAATGACCAAGTGTATATTTCTTATAAAACAAAATATCATACACCTCAAAATTCACATGTTGAAGTTCTAATCCTAACAGCTTGTTTTAACACTTGATCCAACAGACTAGCCAATGGCATACCTAGATAAAATATTATGTCCTGCTAATGCCTGAGGGTCCCACACACTCATTTAGTAAAAATCATGACCAAGTGTGCCTGGAAGCTCATTAGTATATTAACATGTACACCCCATGTGGGAACTTTAGATGCTAATGAGACATGCAACATACAAAGAAGCATGTAGCTCTTCTTGGCATGCCCCAGTATAGACTTGCCCAGGTATGCTATGCTGTTGCACCCCTTTACCCCACTCTGTAGATTGGGGTAAAACTCTTTTCCCAGCTCCCCTTGGAGAGTCTACCCAGAAACTTTCCTCTCCAGCCCTGTCTCCCTATATACATGCTTAATAAAACGTTGTCTTGATGCCACCTACCTTGCCTTTTTGTCAAATTCTTTTGTGAGGAGTTAGAACTTGAAAAAGAGACCCAAGGTCTCTGACAGAAGTAGTATGAGAAAGTCAGAATGCAGGTTCCATCAGACCTAATGAATCAGAATTTTCATTTTAACAAGACCTAGTGGATATTTGCATGTTCTTTAAATATTTGCAATCATTTTATTATCATTCTAAATAAATAACATGAAGTCATTACTAAGAGAATGAACAAACTTGTTTCTAACCTGCTAGCAGGGTACAGTCCTGTGAAGTCAATGAAATATGACATAGCCTTATACTCCAAGGAATGTGGTTACTGTCCCCCAAGTAATGGGTATGTTGAACAAGGGGGGAGAGAGGTTAAATATATGAGATTATAAAATAATCCTTGTGCTCAGCAAAGTTAAAATACAGAACTCTGAGAAATGGAGAATAATCATATCATTGACAAACCTTGTTAGACTCCATCTCAAATGACACTTTTGTTCTCTAGAGGAAAGCATCCTCCCTTTGTTCATGTGATCATATGATTCAGGAAGTTTTTACAGTTTGGGCTGCCTTGTAATAATCTTTATTCACTTAATGTCAGGTAATAAAATTTAGTGACTCTTGTACCTCCTTATAATATCCAGTGTCCAAATATCCACCACTTTCTCCTCTCAAAAATTCTCTGACATAACATATAAGATATTCAAAACAAAGGACAAAAGTATGCACAGATGATGAAATATTTCACTGATTGAAATCCATTTTTGTGCCTTATTATATATTTTCTAAAAAATCTTACCTTGAGTATAGCTCACTGTATTAGGAGCATAATAGTGTTTCTGAACCTGATATAAAAAATATGAATTTTCCTTTATTAAATTTGTCCCAAGTAGCAATAAAATTAAACTAACAATGGTAGACAGAAAAATTATGTCAGTAGAATTATAATATTAATTATGGACATACAAACAGAGTATCAGCTTCTGATTATTTCCTCTGGTTCTATGATGACTTTCCCACTTCCACACTTCATAAATGAAATCTCACCATTTTATATGTCCCTTTTATGACACAATATCTTTATATGTTTTCTATTCTTGCCATTTTTCTTCTTTAAAAACTCAAGAAAATGTATACCTATAACTAGATATAAAGTGAAGTTTTTTGTCCAAAATGCATATATTAAGAAATAAGAAAAAGACGGAAGACAAGTTATTTGAGTGTTTGTTCCCAGAACTCAGTAAAAAGAAAAGAAAATCAAGAAAAGAAGAAGAATTTGAATAATAAATACTAGCACAAAATGTATTTTCAAAGCCATCAAACTTTTAGAAATTTAAAGACACAAAAGCTAGTTCATCAGAAAGACTAATAGATTTGACTTGCAAGAATGATCAATTATATTTGAATAAAAGCACAGTCAAGTTAGTGTCTCCATGCCATAGATGCTATAGACTATAGAGCTTACAGCTCCAAATTTTCACAAATTCTTCAAGAGAATAGAAATAGAAAGCACACTTCCTAGTGTGTTCCATAAAGTCAGTTTTATTCAACATTGCAAAGAAGACTAAAGGAATAACATAAGGCAAAATAAAAATAACACACACACACAAATACATACACACGTACATAAATTAAAGGAAAAGTTGTATAAACACTTTTTTTATAGAAAACTGGATAAGTCATGTAGAATACCAAAAATAATCAACAGGTTATCTTCTAGATTAAGAAATTACTTAGTAAAATCTATGATATCAGTCATGACACAAAAATGTTTTCTATATTTTTCACTAAAAATACTTAGAAAAGAAGATTTTTAGGGTTTTAAAATATTTAAAATATTTAAAATTACAAACACCTAAAATAAGTTCTACAAAAGAGTAAACATTACTACTCTGAAAGTTATAAAACAGCATAAAAGCTAAAGCAATCTTAAATAAATAGATGAATACGCAGTATATTCATGGATTGGATGAGTCAGTACTCAAAAGTACTGTTGAATACTATCCCCAAGTTAATTCAGAGTAATTAATTCAAGTAATCCCACATAAACCAACAAATTTCTGCATGGAATTGTGAGTGTGTGTGTGTGTGTGTGTGTGAATTCATGGGCTGATTCTAAAATTCATAAATCATCAAACAAAAGTTGAAATCATACTCTACTCAATATCAAACCATTACAAATCTATGGTTTTAAGACTTTGCCCAGAGTCATACAAATGGAACAATGAAGCAGAATGGAGAGTCTACAATTGGCTCATTATATGTATGAATACTCTATTTTTAATTAACAAGAGCCATATAAAAGAAGAAAAGAATATCTTTTCTGTGAAAATTGCCAAGATAATTTTGTATTCATACACAAAATAAACTAGACACCTAAAATAGCTCTCAAAAACAGAACTAATGTACTTCAAACACAGAAGTGATATCTGTCACCTTTACCATAGTCTGCTGGCTAGAAACAAGTCATAGGTTCTACCCACATTCAAAAGCAAAGAATTATATAAGGACTTAAGGAGGCAGAGCTAAACAAGGACTGTTTTATTATTTAATAATCTGTCTGGCAATTATTTAATAATTATTTTATAATCTCCAAAATTATTTAATAATCTGTCTGAAAATCCTAGTTAGAATGTAATCATTAAAATGTAATCATTTTCAAATCAAAAGCAGTGAAACTTTTCATCTTTAACAATTACACATTAAGTTAATCAAAATAATTTGCTAGTTCA